AACGAAAACATAACAAAACTCAAATAATACAATTTTTTAAAATATTTCAATAGAATACTCAAAAACATTTGGTTAGTATTTTTTGAATACTCTAGAAATTTTGGTTAGTATTTTTTGAACCAATAGAATTAGTTGTTTCATAGATTTGGCGGGTTTTTTGTGTTTGCGAATATTCTTTTTTCATTTTTATGTATTCATGTATGTCCATAAAACAAAATATTTTATAATTTACGATAAAATAATGAACTTAATTATTATTTTATCGCGGACAAACAAGAAAACATACATAAACATAAATGTTCTCAAAACGACTAAAAAATCTGTTTATAAAATGTAAAAAAGAGTTATGTATAACATTATCTGGAAGTAAGTTAAAATTTCCTAGTATGACCACATTTTTTTTGGTCAAACATAATATAGAGAGACATTTTACACTACGCTGCATTGTTCTATTATTATGTTGGTGAATTGTACGTGTTAGAAATCACGCAGATGCGTGTTGAAAGTCACGCATCTACGTAAGTTATTTCAACTGTAATTAACAGTATATTCTCATGGGACTTTTTTATTTAATATATATAGAGAAAAGATTTTTGTATAGGATGTTAGAAAGAATATATAAATCTATAGATTATAAACGTTATTAAATTAAATGGACGCGACGATAAAACAAGCTATTTCGGCCATTATGCCACCGGTATTCATTGGCAACCATCAGCGGTTCGTCCGCCAACTACGAACATACATAACTGCGATGGACGTACCCGAATCCAAAAGAAAAACAATAATATTAACATGTTTGCCACCACAGATTTATTCCACACTAGAAGATCTATGCTTGCCTGCATACCCTGAAGATGACTCAGTTACCTACGAAAACATCGAGGAAAACATCATCAAGCTTTTTAAACCGAAGTCATCGTTAATACTACGCTTTGAATTTGCAACTATAAAAAAAGCAAGTAACGAAAATGTGACGGAATTTTCACGACGGATTACAAGAGCTGCTGAAGGATGCAAATTCACGAATAGAGATGATCGAATGCGCGACCAATTCATCACGGGTTTTAACGATGGTGTTACAATCAAACGGTTACTACTGGAATCTGAAGAACTAACTTTTGAAAAGGCTGTGGAAATAGCTATTACCCTTGAACGAGTAACCCAGGAAGCTCGACAATTAGATGGTTCCGAGAATGTAATGATTGGCGCAACATCGTTACTTTCACGGACGTCTGGTGCGTCCGACATAAACAAAGTTAAATGTTTCAATTGTGGAAAACTTGGACATTTTGCAAGGAACTGCGAAGAAAAATGCATCATCAAGCTAAAAACTGCTTTAAACGATTGCAAGGTTTAAAAGGAAAAGGGAGAATCTGGAAATAATGGCATCCAGTATTCTCCCAGAAATGACGTTGCCATCATTAAAAGTGAAAATAAATGGAAGGCTCCGAACAGCATTAATTGATTCTGGATGCTCCATTACTGTGGTTCATGCTGAGCCCGCGCATGGGCTTGTGTTAAAAAGTCAAAAACTTATCACAACTTTGGGAGGAACTGTGCAAGTGCTGGGTGAAATGGTAATCAATCTGGAAATTGATGGAATACACCGGATGGTTAATTCTCTGGTTGTAAAAGAAAAACCATTTGGGTTTGATTTGATTTTTGGAATGAATGCAATTAAAAAATTTGGAGGAGTTATCATTTATGGTAATAAAAACTGTAACGTCCGAATGTTAGCATGTGACAAAGCGAAATGTGGTGCCGTTACTACGACGAGAAAAAACGAAAACGAAATAAACGAATTAAAAATTAATGTTATTAATACGACAAGAAAAAGCGAAAACGAAGTACAAAAAATAAAATGTGATGTCAAAAATACAACAAGAAATGAAGAGAACGAAAGAAACGAAATAAAACATCAGGACTTCACAGCAAAGTTCGACGGAAAAAAATGGACGGCATCATGGAACTGGAATAAAGAGCCTGTAATTGATAATACCATTTGTGAATACAAAATGAACCAAGAGCACGAACGTAGTTACCGTAAAGAAATATGTGAATGGATTGACACTGGTATTCTTGTACCATATAACGAACTAATATTGGGACCACCAAAAGTATTGATACCGCTTATGTGCGTAGTGCAAGAAAACAAGGACAAAAAGGTACGCCCAGTGGGAGATTTCCGAGCTCTCAACGAATTTGTAAATTGTCATATGGCAAACGCGGACGTTTGTCAAGAAAAACTGCGTTGCTGGAGAAAAATAAAAAATGCAAAAATTCTGGATCTTAAAAAAGCCTACCTCCAAATTCATATTGATAAAAAACTTTGGCCATATCAAACGGTGATTATAAATGGGCAACGGTATTGTTTTACCAGGATGTGTTTTGGCATCAACGTGGCTCCAACAATAATGACCACAATTCTTCGGCATGTGCTCAATTTAAATCCAACCGTAAAGAAAGCATGTGATAACTACATTGATGATATATTTGTGGATGAAAGTGTGGAAACTGCGAAAAATGTAGCGAAGCATCTGCTTAAATTTAGATTACAATGTAAACCTCCACAAGATCTTGAACAAGGACGTGTCTTAGGATTGAGAGTCGAAAGAAATAAAAATGGGGAACTGATATGGAAACGAGACAATGCGGTACAATTCGAATCTTTAAATGCAGTCACACGATCATAGCTTTTCAGCCAGTTAGGCAAACTTATTGGGCATTACCCAGTGGCAGGAAGTTTGCGTTTACAAGCTTCATACATCAAGCGTTTAGCTGGAAATATACCTTGGTGTGATTTTATTTCTGAAGATTGTAAAGAAAAACTGAAAGAGTTGCTTTACCGTGTGGAAAAAGAGGATCCGGTTGGTGGAAAATGGCTGGTACCAGTTAATGGAAAAGCTGAGCTTTATTGTGATGCATCATCTATAGGACTTGGGGTAGTTCTGCTCATTGGTGGAGTAGTTGTTGAAGACGCAGCATGGCTACGGCCAGCGAGTGACACACACCATATCAATATAAATGAACTGGATTCTATACTTCGAGGACTAAACTTAGCTAGTAAGTGGGGCATAAAAGAGTTAACAGTATACAGTGATAGCAAGAGCACCGTAGGATGGTTAAATGCAGTTTTGAAGGAAGAATATCGCGTAAAAACTCGGGGAATTTCTCAATTGTTAGTACAAAGACGATTGAATACTATTAAGGAAGTGGCAAAAGATTTTCAGATCGCAGTACAATGGATTCCATCTGAGATAAATTTGGCTGATCGACTCTCACGAATCCCTCAAAAATGGTGAAGAACAGTGTGTGCAGCTGGATTACTTGAACAAAAAGACAGATGGAAAATTCATTCAATTGGTCATTTTGGTGTTGCTCGAACATTACAACTTTGCTTGCGAAATAATCAGAATGTATCACGTAAGGAGGTTTCAGCAGTAATTGCGAATTGTAACCAGTGTAACTCCATTGATCCTTACTCCGTAAAGTGGAAGAATGGCCAACTAAGCGTAGAAAAAAATTTGAATCGGGTTGCCATTGACGTATGTAGGTGCTGAACTGTACTTATCAATGATTGACTGTGGTCCATCACGGTATACAATATGGCGTAAACTAGTAACTAAAGCAGCTGCTGAAGTTGTTGGTAGACTCGAAGAAATATTCTCTTTATTTGGTCCGCCAGTATGTCTTCTAATGGACAACGAATTTCGGTCCAACACGTTAACAAGTTTTGCTGAAGAATGGCATGTTAATTTGGAATATCGAGCAGCACATCGAGCTCAAGGTAATGGTATAGTTGAACGTATACACAGAACGATAAAAAGAACGATCGCTTTTTCACATTGTTCAATCGCTCTAGCAGTCTTGCTGTACAACGAGACAATATCATCCAATTGTACTGAAAGTCCATCCAAGCAATTCAAGAAAAGATCGACATGTTTCATCCTAGGCGTCGATACTCGGAGGAAGGTAGACGAGAAAGGCGTAAGCAAGAAATTTAAAGTGGGTGACAATGTTTGGGTAAAACCAACTCAAGAAACAAAATGTGACCAGGCGTAGTACGAAAGCAAAATACTTTGTCGTTTGACGTGGAAACTGCAAATCGGGTATATCCGCGTCACATTTCACACCTGCGTCGCCGTACAGACGTACAGAGTTCAAATGAATCAGTCAACGATGTTTTTTATAGACTAAACGATAAAACTGATAACGTTAAAGGAAGTTATAATGATGATGTCGCTCAAGTTCAAAATGATTCTCAAGAACTCAACGTGCTGTAAGTAACACGCTCCGGACGAACAGTAAAGCCCCCACAAAGATTAGACTTATGAGTTAATTCACCAAGAGGGCATGTTCTATTATTATGTTGGTGAATTGTACGTGTTAGAAATCACAGTTATCACAGTACAATTAACACAGAAATCACAGTACAATTAACAGTATATTCTCATGGGACTTTTTAATTTAATATATATAGAGAAAAGATTTTTGTATAGGATGTTAGAAAGAATATATAAGGCTATAGATTATAAACGTTATTAAATTAAATGGACGCGACGATAAAACATGCATATAGTCAATAGCTTCTTTACCGAAACCCTCACTGTGATAATAACCAATAATAAACAAGTTATTATTAATAAAATAATTAAACAAATATTAATAAAAAATTATTAATAAAATTAAAAATTAAAAAAAAATTTTGAAACAAAAAACTATTTTATTAACTACTTTGAAATTTATCTACTATGATATTTTTGAATGTTCCATTTTAAAGAACATTCCATTTTATTCATTCTTTCAATAGAATTTTAGAAGTATCTACGAATGAGAGCACAAAAAGCTAAAAGATAATTTTATTTAATGTGTCTATTCTGCAACATTACCAATAAAACATATGCATTAAAAATAATCAATGAAAACAAAAAACTTATTTCATCTAGTTATATATCAAGTAGTTTCAAAAAGACCTTTTTTATTACTCAAGTTCCTACCTTTAATCCACCATCTTTTGTATGCCTAAGATCCCACAAACCAATTTGACCATGCAGAGTTCCTGTTATAATAGTTTTTTGATCATAACTGCAAGTAATCACATTTATTGAGTGGATCGGAGGTTTTTTACCCCATAGCACAAGTGGCACAATAGTTGTAGAGTTACTCATTTAAGACTTTGTATTTCATTTAATCTAAATAATTTTTATTAAAATGAAAATAATTAAAAAGGTTTTTACAAGATATTTTCCCACACACACGCAGATATATATATATATATATATATATATATATATATATATATATATATATATATATATATATATATATATATATATACATATATATATATATATATATATATATATATATATATATATATATATATACATATATATATATATATATATATATATATATATATATATATATATATATATATATATATATACATATATATATATATATATATATATATATATATATACATATATATATATATATATATATATATATATATATACATATATATATATATATATATATATATATATATATATATATATATATATATATATATATATATATATATATATATATATATATATATATATATATATATATATATATATATATATATATATATATTAGAAGTAAAAACATACTACCGTATAAAATTACATGCATAATATATAATAGATATATATTTTGTAGTTGCAGTATGTACACACGACTACATACTTACAATTCATACTAAATAATAATAATATAAAATAGATCATATTAATAAAAACTAAAAACATACTAAAGTACAACAATACTTAAGTACAAAGGTAAAAACGAAGTTATCAACTAGACTTTATTAAGTCTAGGTATGTGCCAGGCATATAAGTAATAACATGTGCTTGGTGCATAAGTTGTTAAATAATAAGTAAACAATAAGGACAAAATTACCTTAATTTTAGAAGGTCATGCTGATTCTAAAATAAAACGTCCAGATACTTTAAGTCTAAAATCAGAACATTTAAAAAACTAGCATTTTAATTTTCAAAAAAATCTTTTAAAAATCTAGATAACTCTGTTAAAATTAAGAAAACTGGGCGCCTTTAACATAAGCCTAGGTACATAAGTTATAATTTAACTAACTTTTTATAAATTTATTTTTATTAACTGAGAAAATTTTATAACAAATTCTTAAATTATGAATAAAATTATTTCATAATTTGGATAAAAATTTGATTTTAAATCATTTTCTCACTACTAAATCAAAAATAAGTTGATTTTAACAGTGACCAATGCTATTCAATTGAAATCGTTGATTACGGCAATATATATTAATTAAAAGAATAAAACAAAAATATATTAATACATATTGAATAATTCTAATAATATGTATATATATTATTAGGATTATTCGTAGGACGGCTAGACATGCGAAAATTTCTTTCTTAGTGAATTTGATTATTAAAATACACATTGAAAAAAAAAAGTTCATCTTGCGGTTAAACTTGCAAAAATTCACTTTACTAAACGCAATAAACAAAATAATAAAATTTTATATTTTTAACGGTTCCGTTAAAAATTTCTTGATACCAAAATAATTATTTTTTGATTTATAAAGTATATATGATAAATGCCTAAAGGTTTAAAACATGTGTGTATATATGTATATAAATACATAAATATATATATATATATATATATATATATATATATATATATATATATATATATATATATATATATATATATATATATATATATATATATATATATTTATATACAGGGCCGGCGCGAGTAGGGGTCAGGGTTATATATATATACAGCGCCGGCCTTGTATATATATATATATATATATATATATATATATATATATATATATATATATATATATATATATATATATATATATATATACATATATAGGCTGACCAGATTTTTTAAAAATAAAAGAGTATATATCCGATCAGGGCCGGCGCAAGTAGGTGTCACGTAGGAAGGGGGGGGAGCAATTACAACTTTTGCCCACTAAAAAAAAAGTCCTTGTTTTTTAAAATTTTTCAACTGCATTAAAAACATTTACAAACTGATTGTCTAAATTTACCGACTTACTTGTCTAAGCATTTGCTGACTGACTGACAAAAAGTTTGCCGAAAAAAAAAATTTGCCGACTAAATGAACAAAAAAATCATTAATGGGTATAGAGTCAAAAATCTCATTATCACTAACAATAGGAATAGGCAATGATTTAGTTTGATTAAGAAAATATATGTAAGCTTCCTTTAATTTGTCATCTGAAAATTTCTTAACATAAGCTACTTTATATTCCATGCTTCATTACAAAACCTTCCAACCCTCTTTTTCAAATAAGGGTAAAAATTCCTCAAAAAACAAGAGGGTTGCACCCTGCATCACCAAATTTGCTAAAATTTGCCACAAATATTTAAAGATATAAGTTACGAAAGACTGTAAAATTTTTTCAAAAAATTCTCAACCCTTTAAGATTTACAGCAACTTGAAGTTAGTTATTTTTTTACTGAAAAAAGAGGGGGGATAAAGCCGGAAATATGTCAATTTACCATTACCCTTTTAACAAACTTGTAGTAATGTTGCGAAACTAAAACTTGGTACCAAAGGAGTTTAAAACCTGCTGAATCTGAAAATCATAAACTTATATCTCTCAAAACAATAAAATTAGTTTATTTTTAGATCCACAAAACGTACTTGTTAATGACATTAAAAAAGGCCATTGACAACTATAGTTCTAGAAAAAATCTGACTGATGAAAAAAAGTTTTGGTTTTTCGTTATTTTAAATATCAGACATATATCTACTTTGCGAACCAATTTTTATTTGGTCTCAGGTTTTATCAAGGAGTTATTGATGTTTTAGTTTTTCAATTTTTCTAAAGATATTTTGCACATAAAAAAATTTGCAAATATATTTTGAATACAAATACAATTATTTTTGTTTTGTAATAGCTTTGTAAAAAAATTTACAAAGTTATTACAAACATAGTTGAACATTTTATAAATTTGTTTCTTTTTACTTTCATTACATAATAATAATGTCATTTTCATTGTCATTAAATTTAACAAAATTATGTCACTTTAGTTGTTGATTGTTTTGTTGTAATAAAACATTTATTATCATCAATAAAAAAAGTAATAAAATGAGATAATAATGTCTAATTAACATTACTATGTTAAGTTACATAACTAAATAAAATTATATTTAGTTAACCTTTACTTTTACACAACTTTTTGTAAGTAGTTAATGGAGAATTTACAATAATTAGTAGATAGTTAGGCATTTAAAATATGTCTATTAAACTAATAGCTACTTGTTCAAGCAATATGTTCTTTATAAATACATATCGATATGATATTGTTTGTGTTCAAGTGTACTTTTCTTGTTAGGGACATTAAGATTATTTAAGATTTCTTGTATTAAGTGTTTAGACAGAGATTCCTCATTATATTTTTATATGGATAACAAAATTAATTGCTGCTTTGTAAATAATTATGGAGCTTGTTATAAACAATCATATACTCAAGAAAGAAATCTGATTGAAGATATTGACAGCAATGATCATAAGCTACTTGAAAAACGAACAAATCTGAAACAAGAACAAATTACTAATTTATGCACACGCCATCATGATATGTTAGTTGTAAGATATGAGGGTAATCAGAAAAGTTGCTGTAATCCATTTCTGAGTCACCAAAAGGTGTGTAGAGGTAAAAATTTATATATTTATATTTCATTAGGTAATATCATTATTAATAAGTCATATAAGTTTTTTTAGTAATAAGATTTGTTCAATGTTTCATAGTTATTAATATAACAAACTGTATAGTAATATAATTAAATAATATATATATAATTAATGTTATTTAAGTAATGTAATTACTTTCTTTTTAAGCATCTCTACGTGTGATTACAATGCATTCTGTGTTAGAAGCAGAAACCATATGTTTAAATCTTATACCTGGAAAAAAACTTCTAACCTGTCGAAGTAAAGTTATGACATGTTTATCAAAAAGTATAAGTGAAAATAAAAATGATGAAGATTTTAATATTGTTAATGAAAAATCCATTCAAAATCAAAATGAAAGTGTAGATACACACTTTCCATCTGCCGGCGTATCTTCAATTAAGGTCAAAGGATTGCACAAGTCAGGTAAAATCAGAGAAGGTAAACGAAAATTGATGATTTTTTGCATTATGAGCATTAACATGATGAGCATTAACAACCTCCATTAAAAAAAGGTAGCCATTTCCCTTAATATATCAGAAGAAGGTTTTGAAGAACAGTCAAGTTTTAATAATGAGTATATGGAAAAAGCAAACTTGTTTGATAACATGATGGTATTGTTAACTAACAAAATTGCAGAGTCTACATCAACATCAAAAAAAAATACAACTTGCGACACTTGTTCCAACAGACTAAACAATAAAAAAGGTATCTGAAACATTGCATGTAACAAATTATGTAGCTTGAACTGCACGTAAGTTAACATTAGAAAAAGGTATTTTAACCATGCTTATTCCGAAATTAGGAAAAGCTCTTCCTGATGTAACAGTTCAACTGGTCAAGACCTTTTACGAAGACGATGAACATAGCCGTATAATGCCTGCTAAAAAGGACTATGTAAGCATAAAGACAAATGTCCACATGCAAAAACGTTTGCTCTTATGTAATTTAAAAGAATTGTTTGTTGCCTTTAAAACCAAGAACCCAGAAATAAAAATAGGATTTTCAAGGTTTTGCACCTTGCGACCTAAATGGTGTATTACTCTAGCCTTGCGATAAAGCGTCGGACGATGTGAATTTTACGTCGTCCAAGAGCAATTTTGCGTGTAGCTAGGGCTATTTGCGTCGACTTTAAAAAAATAAAAAGCATGGAATAAAAAATGTCGCCTTAAATTGCTTTAAATTATTTTCTGATGAACAGACAACAATGCATAACTACCAGTGAAAAAAATTATCAGAATTTCTCAAAATAAAGTGTCCCCCAAGGTTCCATTTTTGTACCCCTTTTGTTCCTAACATACATTAATGATCTTCCGAATGCCTCAAGTATAATAGATGTTATTATGTTTGCCAGCAATACTAACTTATTTTCTACATCTAGATCTATTTCAGAACCCTTTGAAACTGCAAATAGAAAAAAACTAAGCAACTGGTTTAAGTCCAACACATCCTTTAAAACCAAACACATCCTTTTTAATTCAAAATAAATTAGTACTCTTATTACCTTTGCTAAAAATAGTAATCGAAAGATAAAAATAGATAATATAGAAATCGAGAGAACCCAATCAATAAAATTTTTAGGGATGCTTATCAATTATAACATCTCATGGAAAGTGCTAATAAACTTGTTAAACACAAAAGTTTTAAAAATATTGAGATGCTCTTTGGAAAGCATTAAAAATAAATGAAAAGTGTAGGTGTATAGGTTTTTTACCTTAAACCTTTAAACAAATCCTTTACCTAAATTGAGTTATTTTCTTGAAGTTTTTGTTTAGTCTCAAAAAGACGACATAAAGCTTCTAAACATAAGCTTTTCTTAAATCACGCCCTAGGAACCGTCTGCTCTAAATTTATTTATGAAGTTTCGCCACTGCAAATAAGACTCAAATGCATTGCAAATAACAGAAACAATAACAAAAGTAATAATACATTTTTTAAACAAATATTTTTTATATTTTATATAAAGTAATACAAAATGTTACTACAAACATTCTATTTAGTATACGAGCTAAGTAATCTCTCTTTAAGAAAATTAAAAGAATTTACAGGTTGATAAGTGTCTGACCCATCAAGACAGGATACTAGAACTTCGTCGTCTGGTTGGCAAAAGAATGCAATGCACTGCCGTGGTTTTTCAGGATTTCCTAGAGATACAACACGATGTTTTGTTGATTTTATTTTTCCGCTAGTCCACCTTTCAAGTAAATCTGCTGCATTTACAACAATTGTATTTGGTATTGGAGTTGCATGAATAAAATTACCGTTTGGTGATTGAACCTTTATAAAGGAATGCAAATTAATAAATTAATTACTCGTACCGATTATATATATATATATATATATATATATATATATATATATATATATATATATATATATATATATATATATATATATATATATATATATATATATATATATATATATATATATAAATATATATATATAAATATATATATATATGTATATATATATATATATATATATATATATACATATTAATTAAGACTTCTTGGGGCCAAGGGGCTATTTTTGTTTTTGGAGGCCTTTGTATCAGCCAGAACCTAAAATTTACTTAAAAAAAAAGATCCTCTAAATTTTTTGGGGGCTCTTAAATTTGCAGGGCCCGGGGCTATAGTTCCCCCTAACCCCCCTTGATCCGGCACTGTATATATATATATATATAAGGCCGGCGCGATAGGGGGGTGTGGGGGTGTGAAACCCCCCTATCAATGATTTCGGCAAGTTGGACCCTTAGTCGGCAAATTGGACCCTTTTAGACTAGTTAGTCGGCAAATGTCGACCCTTTCGATATAGGTTAGTCGGTAATCTAGACAGTTGAAAAATGTCGTCATGGCAGTCGGCAAATTTTGGAAAACGAGGACCTTTTTTTTTTTTTTTTTCGGCAAAAGTCAGCAAAATCTAGTGACACCCCCCCCCATCCCCCACGTGACACCTTCTCGCGCCGGCCCTGTATATATATATATATATATATATATATATATATATATATATATATATATATATATATTCATAGATCCCCGCTTTTTTATCCAAAAAGCGGAAATCTATGAACACTAAAAGGCCTAAATATTAATTTGGAATTAGTTGGGAAGTTTACATTAAAAAAATATATAATAATTTAAACCGAGAAAAATAGCTTAAAAAGAAATAACTTAATTAAATATAAATATAATTTTTAAGTTTATTTAAATAGAATGACGCTTGCAATTGAATATAACTCACTTCTGTTATAATTTAAGGTGACTTTTCTTTATTCAATGCTAAAGTATAAACAATAAATATACACCATTGTGCTAATAAAAGCTTTAAAATATTTTAGTAGATTGTTAGTCCTTGGTCTTAGCCTTGCCTTAAAACCAAAGAATTAAGGCCTTGGCCTTGTCTTGGTCTTGGCCTTGAAACTGTTGGCCTTGGCCTTAGTCTTGGCATTGAAATTTTTGGCCTTGGTCTTAAAGAAAAAATTACATAAAATTAAAGAATTAAAGGTTTTCATTCTTTATTTTTATGTATTTTTGTTTTTAGCTTTCATATATATCTACAAGTATATTTTCTAATTGACTTCATTGAGTTCTGCGCATAATTTTGGTCTATTTTTACAACATGTGGTTTTATTGTCACTGCAAATGCTACCTGCAGTTTTCTTAATAATTGCCCTTAACGTAAGGCCTAAATTTAAGTCTTTGGTATTGAAATGCGACGTATCTTAATTCTTAAGAAACAAAGTATAACTATAAGTAAACATGTTGCCAAAGTTTTTCTTTTTCTTTTTTCATTCAAATGTTTATGTAGTGAAATGATTTTAATTTTAAGAGTTCATATGATGAAATTGTTGACAAACTTTTTTCATTGTAGTAATAATTTTTTTACTGTCGTTAACATTTTTCTCGCCTAAACGAAGTATAACAAATTTTTTACAACAATTGGAACTAAACTAGCAAACAGTATTCCGTATACCGACGATAATTCAAAACATCAACTTTTTCTTTACTGAGCTAACTTATGATGAGTTTGAAATTGCCTTTAGTTCATTAAAAAGAAATAAAACAACTGGGTATGATGATATTAATGTGAATATTATTATAGACTTTTGTGATGTTATAAAACACATTATTTTTAAAATCTTTAGAGCATCCATCAGTCAAGGAATGTTTCCAGACTGTCTAAAATAGCTAAAGTATTTCCTGTCTTCAAGACAGGAGATGATACAAACATAAATAATTATCGCCCTATTTCAGTTCTTTCAGTCTTTTCAAAAATACTAGAAAAAATAATGTTCAATCGAATTTACGGCCATCTAATTAATAATAAAATCTTATACAAAAACCAATTTGGTTTTAAAAAAAAACAATTTAACAGAACACGCTATTCTCCAACTTACGCGCGACATCTCAGAATCTTTTAAAAAATCTCATTTCACATTAGGAGTATTTATTGACTTATCTAAAGCTTTTGATACCGTCAACCATCAAATTCTAATAAAAAAATTATTATCATATGGAATAAAAGATAACACCCTCAATTGGTTAAAAACTATCTTACAAATCGTAAACAATATGTTTATAATAAAGAATCCTCGTCTCAAGTGTTAATGAATATAACGTGTCCATACTTGGACCTCTTCTCTTTATAATATATCTAAATGATCTTTATAAAACTTCAAGCCTAACAAAAATAATCTTCGCAGACGAAACAAATTTATTTCTATCTCATGAAAATATTAATATTCTTTTCAACAACATGACAAATGAATTAAAAAAAGTTTCTGATTGGTTCAAAATAAATAGGTTATCTCTCAACACAGCTAAAACTAAATGGACACTTTTTTATCCACTCTATAAAAAACATAGAATACCACATTTGTTACCTGAACTATATATTGACAATGTAATGATAAAAAGAGAAAAAGTAACAAAGTTTCTAGGAATCTATATTGATGAAAATTCAACTTGGAAACATCACATTAACATTATCTCTTCTAGAGTTTCCAAATGCATCGGTATTCTTTATAAAGCTAGAAACATACTAAATAAACGGCAGCTGACTCAATTGTACTATTCCTTTGTTCACTGTCATATAAACTATGCAAATATTATATGGGGAAGCACTCAAAAGATAAAACTTAAAACTCTTTTTAATCATCAGAAACACGCAGCTCGCGCAATTAATTTTAAAAATCGTCTTACTCACTCTGCGCCACTTCTTAAAGATATGAAAGCTTTGAATGTTTATCAACTTAATATTTTTTATATTTTATGCTTTATGTTCAAGTGTAAAGAAAATTTATCTCCACAGGTATTTCAATATCTTTATTCTTTAAAACCGAAAAACAAATATAATTTACGAATTGACAACAATAAAATGCTCCTTTTTGCAAAACTAAATACGACGAATTTTGTATGTCCTATCGTGGACCTCTTCTTTGGAACAAAATAGTTTTACGTAGTTTTGACTTTTCAATCAAACTAAACTACTCCTCATTCAAAACCAAAATTAAAGAAACTATCTTTTCAATTGAAAACATCTTTATCTATTTTTGAGTTTTTATCAATTTATTGCTAATATATTATACTTTATTGTATTATGTTTTACTATTTACGAATATTTCCATGAGTTCTTTGCAAACTTATGTATTTAATGGTTTGTATTTTATTATTTTACTTTTTTAGTATTTTACTTTTAGTATTTAGTATAGTATTTTTTAGTATTTTACTTTTTATTACTGTGTTTTGTTAAACTTCATATTATTTTTGTTATTTTACGAATTTTTATAACTTCATTATAATATTACGTATTTATATTATATTATACTCGATACTAAAAAGCATTGTAAAGGGCTTCATGATAAGATCCTCATATGAGGATATTAGGATATATCATGATAAGATCCTCATATGAGGATATTAGGATATATCCTAACTTTATTGAAAAGAGAAAGCAAGCGGTTTTTTTTTAAACCGAGCTTTATGAAAACTGGTTTTTTCAGTTCCAAAACGAATTTTGCAACTTTGTGCAATATGGTGCTTTAAAAACGGCTGTTGTAATAAATTAGCAAAACTTATATGCAGCAAATAGGTATCACAATCTTTGTGTCGTCAAAACCTTTGCTAGTGCTGAAATTTGATGGTCAAAGAGTTGTTTTTATAAATATTTAAAATAGAAAATAAAAAATAAAAAAAGTTGAATAAAAAATTTGAAATTTTTTTATTTTGAAATAGTAAATTACTCACCTCTAAACCTCCGGTTTCATCCTGAAACAAAAGTGTAATAGTTCCATAATCGGTATGTTCACCGCAACGTGATTGAGAAGGTTGAATAAGTGATTTATCTACGCCTGGATAGTAAAGACTTCTTAATATTGTGTGATTTTTCCCTTGAATTGACGTAAACTTGTGCGCTTTTTCAAGAAATTGGGGATCTTCAATACGAAGAGCCAGATTTAATAATCGCAAAAGTCTCATGGTTAAAACGTGGCATTTTGAAAACATATCGTTCATCATAACTGAAAACTTCTGAGGTAACTTTGACTTGATATCTTCCGTAATCCAAGGCAAGTAATCAAAAGCTTCCTTTAAATCAAACGGTTTGTTTCTGTCAAATGTTTCAAATTTAAAAGGAACATACCCAAAAGGATTTGACAAATCACTAGAATTACATAAAACTCTGTTTTTTTCTTCTAAACTTTGATGAAAAAACTCCCGCGATGAATCAAACAAGCTTTGAACGTATTCTGGCGAAAAACCAGTTCCTTTCAAGTACACAAAACCCCAATCTTGAAATGCACTCAGAAGTTCGTCCGCAATTTTATTAACAAATTTATCAGTTAAAAATTCCAAAGATGGAACTGTTTCATTGCAAAAATGCTGATAGTAATAAGAAACATCAACAATAGGAAAACTTTCCATCTTTTTGCTATTATATTATCAAATTTATATATCTGATTAACAAACGATAAAAATCTTAACTTACAGTTTATGCTGTTATTTACAAACAAACAAAAAACTTAACAACTAAAAATGATTATGTAAGCGTGTGACTTTACATAAGCGACTTAACAAAATTTGTAAATTCCATGATGATGTAAATCTCTTAAGTGTTTGTATTATTTTATTAGGTCAGAGGCAAGCAAATACTGGTGAGAATTGCGTTTTGAATTAATTGATAAAATAAATTAATAAAATAAATTTTGAATTTTTTTTTAAACATAATATATTTTAAAACTTATTTAATTTTAGTTTTATTTACAAATTATTTTATTTTAAAACCTAATATAAAAAAATGATTGCAAAATGCAAACAAATAAAAACTAGTAAGTTTAACAAATTACCAATATTTACTTGCAATTAATAACTATTACTGTAACATTTACTTGAAGTTGTGTACCCAAGAGAAAGGAGGGGAATTCTCCAAATCTAAATATAAATATAACACATAACACTTTGAAGTATTTATTTATTGAAAGGCATAATACTTTAAAGTATTTGTTTATTGAAAGTTAGAAGGATAAAAGTCTTTTTTATTTTTGTTTGTTTTGATTTTAACCAATTATTTTAGCTTAGAGTAAAACCATTTATCCTACATTTTAAAAAAAGTAAATATATTGAGAAAAAACGAATAGTCATAAATTAACGTATGTTAAAAAACGTATAAAAAAAGAATTTCTTACCTAAATTAATAAAAAATTTGTTTATCTTGCTTCCATACCCAAATTTAGTTTAAATATCCTAACAAATAAATATTTTTAGTTATCTTTTGAAGGGGTGCCAAAATTACCCGTCTTTAAGGGTCGCCCACATATTACGTTACGCTTTAGGCGGAAGGGGTAAAATTTGGTGGTTTTGTGACGACTTATATAGAGCTTGTTACTAAAGAGTTACGATGTTGTGAAGAGGGGGGGGGGTCTTAAACGGTCAAAAATTGCGTAACGTAGTTTGTAGACAACCCCTTACCCTATTTTATTATTTATATCTTTGCTACCGACTACTTTATTAGTTTTAAGCATTTTAAAAATAAATCATATAAATTTACATTTACTGGTGTCATGTCTTCCATACGTAATCAGTAAATGACTATGTATTTCCTCAAGTAACTATTTTTTAGGTGTTGGTTTTTTCAAGTATTACAAATAAGTGTATACGATTTTTGTTTAATTTTTGAGGATTTCTTGAGATCTTTATTGAACCAGAGTAACCTTTCAGAGACTTTTCAAAGCCAAAGGATTAAACTAAAATTTTTTTAAAAACTTATTAAAACTCACGAGGTTTAATAAATTTAAACAAATTTTTTTTTTTTTTTTTTTTAGTTATTTAGGTGCCCCAAAAAAAGGTCTTGTCACAGAGCACCGCGGAAGTGCATTTAACCAGAGTTGTCCTTGGCCTTGCCTTAAGGTTAAAAATTAGGTCCTTGACCTTGGCCTAGGGGTTGCAACTCTTGGCCTTGGCCTTGAAATTTTTTGCCTTGAATTTTTTTTCTAACTTTCTGTTTATTTTAGCAAGTTCATTTTTTGAATTTAGAACAATAGAATTGTTTTAAAGTAATTACATGCTGTAACTCATTAACGTTTAACGTTATATAATATTATTTTGTTACTTACTGTTAGTTAAAAAAAATCAATGAAAACTTCTTGTGACATTTTGAAGACAATAGAATGTATTGAAAATTTGTTTTTTTGAAATTTAAAAATCGAACGATTTTAAAACTTTTATTCAGAATAAAATATTCATTCAAAGGAAAGTTTTTATTTAAAAAGTATGAAAGTTCTATAAAAAGAAGTATATAAGGGGTTGTCCATTAATTACGTCAACAAAATAGGGGGAGGGGGGTCTGAACGTTTTTTGATAATTGTTGACAAGGGGGAGGGGGAGGTTAATTAAAGTTGATATCAAGAATTTTTTTTTTTGATTTTCATTGCTTAAATAACGGAAAATTAGTTTAGCTGAGTTTTTAGCGTAGCTTCTTTGTATGGGGGGGGGGGGGGGACCCTTTCATCATAATATATATATATATATATATATATATATATATATATATATATATATATATATATATATATATATATATATATATATATATATATATATATATATATATATATATTATTTAGTTGCGAAGAGCTGGCCAGGTTTTATAGTCGTTTTGAGAACATTTATGTTTATGAACGTAACAAAAATTTTTTGTTGGATTTCAAAGTCACCAACTTTGAAATCCATTTGAAATCAACTGTTGAAAAAAACAACAGACTATTCATATCAGTTTAAAGTTTTAACAGTTGCTGGTGGTTCATTATTATTTATTATATAAACGTTTATTTAAAGTTATCTAATAGACAAAGGTAATACGATATTTTTATAGATGATATTATTTTTTAAATTGTATTATTAAAATTCAGAACTAAAATATGTAAAAAAAAATTATATTCAAACATTGGACAAGGTCTGTACTGTACCTGGAAAATCTGGAAAATATGTTAATATTGGCCAAAGTGGTGGAAAACCTGGAAAAGTCAGGGAATTATTATTTTTTTAATAGTCATGGAAAAGTCAGTAATTCTAGTTAAGAAGTTACTCGTTTTGCAATTGAACGCTGTATTTTGAAAACGTGAAGAGTCACGCTTTTTTTAAAATTGAGGTTTTTTGTTTGAAAAGAATATTTTTTTTTTAGTAAAAGATAAAATTATAAGATAAAAAAAAGATTTTTTAGATAAAATAAAGATTTTTTTTTTGATAAAAAAAAATAATTTTTAGTTAAAATAAAAACAAAATTTTTTTTAGGAAAAATGTTTTTTACTCTCCTGTAAAATTTTAATTTTGTGACTTGTCACATTTTCAAAATACAGCGCTCAATTAAGCTATTATGTTTTTTTTGGTGCTACTAATTTATTTTTTCTGAAACATGTTTTTCTTAGTGTTTATTCTTAATCATCCTTAATAATAAGAACCATACTAACATGTATAATAAGATCTATACTAATATCTAACTTAAGTAATAGCTAAGTTTTATAAGTTTTGTCATTCAAAGCATGTATATTCTTAGCATTTCCATTACAGTAGATAGTAATTTTAAACATTTTGTAAAAACCATCGTTAAAAATCGTCAGGGAAATTCATCTGATTTTTCAAAAAAGTCATTTAATTTTATATAAATAGTTGGCTACGAACCCTGTTGGAGAAACATTGTTTTAATATGAGTTTTTTTTTGTTTTACATTGCAATGTGTATCTCAAACATTAATAAGAATTGTTTTGTGTCAGTCCCAGAAATTGAATGCACATTTCATAATTCATAAAAATATTATGAATCCATTAGCAAGTATATATTTTGATCATTAAAAGTTTAGCCCTCTGTCTTTAATTTAATCTGTTTTTTTAGTGATTGTTGTATTTACTTTCATAAATTCTAAATATAATATATAATTAGTTGTATAGTTTCTTAATAATATAATTAACTTTATTGTTTCAAGATAAAGTTGTATCCTTGAAAGATATGCTGGTATTATTGGCACAATGGGCAAGCATTGAAGTGCAACTTGGTGAACTACAAAATACATCAAATTCAGTTATAAAAATTTGAGTATCAAAGGTATGCTAATTATTGTATTGCCTGAAAAGAGTGTCATTGCCATTAAAAGCAGTGAAGAATTCAAGTACTCTGGAAGTAAAAAGACAAGAAAACACTTCAGTAAATGGTAAATATTTTTTTATGATCTGTTTATGCATTTAGTATGATATGTAGTACAATTTATATGCTTCAAATAAAATGCTCTTTGAAGATTTTTTGTAAATGACATTTTATACTAATTTAAGTCTAAACAAAAGTTACTTTAATTACTTCCAGGCTGTGTATTTTTGCAAGTTAATTATTTGGCACAAATTGGAGTTAAAGACGAAGGAGATGGTATATGTTATTTACTAAGAATAGTTTATTAAAATGGCCTAGCTGTAAAATTAAATTATGCAGGGAGACGATAAAAAATTGGAATAGGAAAAATGTTGATTGCATATGCTGCTATTGGTAAGTGGTTTAGAAAAGTTTATTTTTTCAGTTTCAATTTTGTATTACAGAATTACTTTCAATTTGTTATTTTTCTTTGGTGCATAATTAAACAAACAACTATTTTTTTTTACAGAAACTGTGAAGTCAAATAAGTATGGCTTATGCAGACATGTGATAGAGATAGTGGAAGAAAAAATAATAATCGTGGGCGTTAAATATCATAAGCTAAACACGATTCAATAACAAGTAGCTCAGCCAATATCGAAACTACTCTATAAATTTTACAGTGAATTTTTTTATTTAAAACTCAATGTGTCAGTTTTTGGTACAAGTTTGGTGTTTGCAATATGTATATTTAACCGAGAAATTATGTTTAATAAATAAATTTTTATACTTGTATAATACATTCTTTTTTTCTCTATAATTTTTCAATGTAGCGATGCAAATCATCTTATTTGTAACAACGAGATAATGTTGCATAAAACGTTAGGCCAGTATAAAAATAATAATCGTATAACATACGATATTGGGCCAATTTTGTATACAACGTTGGGCCAATGTTGTTTACAATATTGGCCTAACGTTATATACAATGTTGGGTAAACGTTGTATACAACATTGGGCCAATGTTGTACACAACATTGGGCCAATACCTAACCAATGATCAAACCTGCATTGGGCCAACGTCGACTTTCAACGTTGGACCAATGTATCACCATGCATTGGCCCAACATTGGTCCAATGTAAGCTTGCTGTCTGGGATATACTATAGTATATAATGTTGTATTAGACCTATAGAAGCTTGTACTTAAAATGCTACTTTTTTAAACTGTTGCCATTTCAAAGTAGATGATTTAAAATTAGATGATTTCAAAGTAGATCATTTCAAAGTAGATCATTTCAAAGTAGATCATTTCAAAGTAGATCATTTCAAAGTAGATCATTTCAAAGTAGATCATTTCAAAGTAGATGATTTGACATACTTCAAACTTTCTTTAACTTTTACTTTTAAATGTTTGATACTTTCAATTTTTTTTTTGAACAACTAATTTACAATATTTGTAAAACATCTAACATGAAAAAAATCACCTTCACTAACTAGTTTAGTATTAAGCTCCTTTTTGAGAAATTTATCCATCGTGTCATTTGTAAAACAGTTATCTCAAACAATACATATTATTTTTTTATCAAAATTCTATTTGTATAACTTCTCAAGAACCGTTTTATTTAGTTCTATTTCTGAATGATTGATATCAATAAAATTAAGTACATACTTTTTTAGTTGCCAATTATTATCAACACAGTGACAAGAAAGAACAATATAAGATTTATTTTGAACAGGCATCCACAAATCACTAGTTAAGATAGTTCAACATCGTAGTTTCTCAGCTATTATTTTTTTATTTTATATTGCACTTGTACTTCAACTAACCATTTTAAAAGAGGTTGAAGATTTTTACTAAACTTTCTAAAACCGCAATGTTCCACAATCGAAAAAGGTATTTGTAAAGTAATATCATACGCTAAATCATTTCTGATTTTTTCTTGATCGAATTATGATTTTGTAAAAAAGTTTGACCTTTTATTGGGGACAAGTTTGTGGATGTTTAGACCTCAAATGTTTGACTAATTGACTTGTTCTATCTCTTCTATTTCTTCTATTTCTTGCCTATAAAAAATGCAAACAATAATTACAATTTTTTAAAAGATCCCCAAACTTTATAATACTGTATATGAAAGTGGTTTCTCGATATCAATAATTGAAAAGGTTTTACTCGAGTTTCCTAATTCTGCCATATTTGTAAAAAATAGAGCCTAATCTAATAGAAAAACCTGATTATCTATAAAGTTTTGCCTTAAAAGTATTGTAATTTACGTACTTTTAAACTAAATATTGCTAAATTTTCAAATCTTATAACAAAGTTTATCAAAAGATTTGTTTTTTTTTAAATAATTTTCAGGTAACACGTACTATGTGCTTACTTTGTGTTAGGCCCGATGCTTATATGACATAGGCATTGGGCCAACATCGGCCCGACATCTAAAATAAATATATAAAAGTTAAACAAAGATATAATTTTTACATACTTTTGATGGGTGGCTGCTCAATGGAAGGACATAAACAAAGACGTCAAAATAACATCGGCACGACATCCGCATTTGATCAAATAAAGATACAGTTTTTACATATTTTTGATAGGCTCATCGGTTGGATGTAAACGAAGATAATATATATATATATATATATATATATATATATATATATATATATATATATATATATATATATATATATATATATATATATATATATATATATATATATATATATATATATATATATATATATATATATATATATATATATATATATATATATATATATATATATATATATATATATATATACACACATTGCTCCAGTTTAAGAAACTAATAAAAAATTATCAAAGTGTATCATTGATTGCTCAATAAAATAAAACTAACATTTGCCTAACTATATCGGAGCTTTTGTGATACTGCCATTTTGTGGTATATGTTGTTATATATTGATGATGTGATTTTAGAATGTTGTGTATAAGTCAGTTGAGTGTATAAATATATAGGTCAATCTTTGTAGAAAAAGTAAATAAATAAATGTAACCGTTTATTTTATGTTTATTTTTAATTTTTTTTACATCATTAGTTATTAAACAAGTTTACAGTGTAATTTATTTAATAAAAAGTAAAGATAAATGAATAAATATTAAAAAGAAAAATTCCTTTTGAAATGTTAATTATTTCACACCATATGCATTAATATAAAGATAAATGTATATTGCAATCAGTGTTGTATTAAACGAAGAAAAAAAGGTGCACCTATCTCAGGGGTTTTTAAGTTGTTATTAAAAACCAACCTCCTCATCCTTTGTTGTTATTAAAAACCAACTTTCTCATCGCATGTTGTTATTAAAAACCAACCTCCTTATTGCATGTTTCTGCGTTTATGTAAAGGTTACTTTTAAATTTGCCTCAAATTCGCCCAAGATTAGTTTACATTTAATAAGATTTAACTTTTTTTTACTTTAAACGTAAAAAAAATTTTTTTTTTGTAAGATAATGAAAATCTGTTTAACATTACAACGTAAGAAATCATAAACTACAATTTATATAAATATAACAAGGTTTTTTATAAATCCGTTTTTTAAATTTACAATACAGGAACTTTTAATTTTCAAAGTTTTCCAACAAAAAAATGTTTACATACCTTTTCACAGGTGCTATAAGTAAGTGTCTATTATAGCTTTAGATTGTCATTTTTAATACAGCAACCCAAACAATGTTCATTGAAAAATGGTTCTTCGTAAAAATTCTTACAGTTTAAGCATTTTTTGGGTGGCTCCATAAAATAATGCTCAATGATTGTATTAATTGCAAGCACAATATACATCACATTTTTCATTATAAGAACAGAAATTTCAGAACGATGCGAAAACCATAACACGATACGTAAAATCAAATTAGGTAAGTTTACTAAAAAAATTATGACGCAACTATAAAACATCTTAAACGAAAATCCAGTGACTCTCCCCTTAAATTGTTTGACGTGCAAGTCATAAAATGCCAAGGTTGGAAGTGTAAAATTTATGCATGCAAAAATAAGTGTTGCTATTAGAATATGATGTGGAACTGATCGAGGATCGAAAAGTAGTTCTAATAAATCCATGCTGTCAAAAAGATCAAGTGCAACCGAAGAACTTATAGAAGATATATACAACTGGCGTTTGGAATTTATTTCTGCACCATGGTAACCAAAGATCATAAACAGAAATATTAGCGGTGTACAGGCTAAAGATATTTTTAAAAAATTTGGGCCAAAAAGTTTCTTTTCATTTAAAGTATGAACATCTTTAATAAATATGATAATTATTCTTGGACATAAAACAAATACATAAGAAAACCACATAATAAAAATGTATTTTATTTCATTATAAGACATAGAATGGTGTTTATAATTGACATTATAAATGATTGCTTTATATTTTTTGTGCATGTAAAATAGAACAAACATCCAGATTGATATTACTAATACATCAGAAATACACCAAACCCACCATGTTAAATTATTATGGATTAATGATAGATAATTGTTTAACATTAGCCCTTGAAAACAAAGAATTAAAATTGAAAAACACTTCGCAGTAATTGAAAAGTTGTACATTTGTTACACGAATCTAAAAAAAATATATAATTAGAAGTAGTTAAATTGTATTTAAATAACAACAACAACAACAAAATATTAATTTTCCTCAAAATATGCAATCATCAAATTACAGTAATTTATTAATTGTAATAACAATAATAATAATAGTAGAAATAATAATAACAACAAGATTAACTATAATGTTATAAATAAAAATAATAAAAATAATGAGAATAAGAGTATCTATAATTATAAATAATTATATTAATAATATTAATTTAAAAAATAATAATAGTAATAAGAACTTTATTCATTAATAGAGCAAAAGTAACAGCAAAAACAATAGTATTTATAATAATTGTAATAATAATAGTAATAGTAAAAACAGCAGTAATAAAACTAATAAATATTAATGACAAAATAATAAAGTTTCTATGGAAATAGTAAGAAAAAAATTATAATAATAATTAGGAAAGAAAACTAAAATAAGTTAGTAATACTAAAAAATTAAAATTCATTTTTTTTTAGAATTTGTTTAAATTTATTATGTTTTAAATAAAGAAATGAAGATAAATTATTTTGAAATTTTAATTTTTCAAACTCATTCAAACAAATAAAAATTTTAAATTTAATTTTTCAAACTCATTTAAACAAATGAAAATTTTGATTTTAGCATTTTATAATATTGAGATGATTATTAAAACTTATTAAATAAAATGAAAACAAGAAATCGAAATAAAAAAAAATTTTTGTTTTGATTTGTAATATACTTAAGTATATTACACGTATACAAGTATATTACACGTATACAAGTATATTACACATATACAAGTATATTAGACGTATACAAGTATATTACACGTATACAAGTATATTAGTAAACAATACTTCTACCTAATATAATGTAATGCATAATGGTTTTGTAATAGATAATATCCGGTAGAAATATTATTAGGAATAATTAGAAATACTCTTATCAATTCAATTTCTACATAACATTTATTACAATTATAATAAAAATAAGTTTATTTTTATTATATTATAAATTAAATCATAATCTGTATAAATATTTCTATATAAATATTTTTAAAAATATATTTAATATTAGGCCCTAGAATTTCGTTGTATATACAACATATGAAGTTATTTTTTATAGGATTTTTAATTTTTTAAAAACAATAAATTGTAACAGCTTTACTTTTGCACCTTACTTTACTTACAGTTTTATTTACTTTACTTACAGCTTTTTTTGTCAATTTATTTTATCTTGTGCTATTAATAAGAGTTATATATCTTAGGTTCGAATTCTTTTTATCAAAGTTTTATAATTCGAATATTAGGAAGAAAAATTTATTCATTACATATTGACGTCATTACATGTTTTTATGTCTATGTTCAAGTCAACAATGTATAAGGATTCAAATGGTTGACAAAATAAAATAATCAATGTTTCAGGAAAAAAAACTTTGTGATTTTTCAAAAGTAAAATCAAATCGTGATTAAATGCATAAGATAAGAGGTTATAGTTATAGCAAATGATATCCTGATTAAAAGCAAAAGACTAGAGGTCATAGTTGTGGCCAGTTAAAAAAAGTTTATAAAACATAGATAAATTTTCCAAACACATTTTTTAATTAAAAATATATGCACCAAATTTTTGGTCTAAAATGAAAAAGATGTTTTATTTGCTTAGAAGTTGAATATATAAAAAAATAATAGAAATTTTGAATATTTTTCATTCTCTCTTTCAAAAAAGTGAATGAAAGAAAATTTTCTTTCATTCATTTTTTTGAAAGAGAGAATTTTATTTCAAGTAAAACAGACTTTTAAAAATCTGTTTTACTTGAAATAAAAACTCCTAAAATTTAAAAATTTTGATAATACTAAATCATATATTATTTGGAAACTGCGTATTATTACTACTAAATTGGTATGAAAAGTGATGTACATTATTTTTGATTTTTTAGAATTGCGTATTTTACTAAGAAACACGTTTCAAGTATATCCCAATAGCTTAAAAATAACAGGTAACAAGTTTCATTCTCCTTACATATGTCTATATTTTTTTATGTTGATTTTCTAACTAGATGACCTAGCACAAATAATAACAGACAAAAATTTTCACTGAATATTTATTCTCACATAGTTCCTTAAATAAGTTACAAAGATCACAGGTGCCCCTAAGGTCTAGATGTATATTGATGCTTTTTGTTCAAACTGTTTGCAGCAAAATTAACTTTGATATATAAATATAATAAATTGTTTATTGAAAATAATAATGAAACTTACTTCATTCATTGTTTTGAAATCTGCATTTAAAAAAGTTATAATTTAAACAATCTCTTTTTTTAAAGGTGCTTAAAGACGATCTGACGGTCTTATCACAGTGCAGATAAGCAATTTACCAGAAAATTTCCGCCTTAATCCTTAAATCTATGGTTTGATGACAGCCACAGCCGTCATTGAACCTTAGATCTCTTGGCTTTTATCCAAAATTGTAACCGCTGCTCCATACCTGCTAATATGGTAATCATATGATTCCTTTTCCGGATTATCAGATTATCGGAAGCTTTTATGAAAAATATGAGATTGAGATTTTTTGCTTCCGTATTAAATTAATTCCATAAGCAAAGTCAAAAGGTTGTAGTGTAAAATTTTTTGACCCCTTATTTTAAGACCCGACTCGACACGACCCGTTTAAATCGGGTATAAGTCTTGTTACAATGAACCCGAAACCCGCCAGACACAGGCCCGTACGATCAAACGGACACTGACACAGACACAGGCCCGTTGACCAAACGGGTCAAATATGGGTTTTTATAATATCCAGACTCGACCAATATTTTTAAAACTATTTCCATTTAATTGTAAATCAATTTCAAATTGCGTAAATTTTCGAAACTTTTTATTAGCCATATATGCTGATAAAAACAAACGATGCTTTTGAAATTTTTTTTTTTTAAACATCTTTGCTTTCAACAAGGCTGAAAGCAACCACTAATTAAAGTTGGAAGCTACTGGAAGAGAGAAGATGAAGATAAAGCAAGTAAACGATTGATAGACGACTTATATGTAAAGCAAAAAAACGATTGACAGACGACTTAAAAAATTGCAAATTATATGAATAAGGAAAGCAAGATGAAGAAAGCAAATTCTAATTAACTGATGTTCGAGGAAAAAAACTAGACGAATAAGATTTTTTGAGTACTTAGGAACAGTCACAGAAAAAGGATGAGACTTAATTGAATGGCGAGTAACACTAACTGAGAATATCAGTTAATAGTTTTATCAAAGTTTGTAAAGAACTAACAAATGTCAAATGATAACTGTAACTCATATGCAAACCCATTTGTATTTTGTAAATTGTCTTTTAGTAATACCTTTACACCACTTAATGAACAACATTCACTACATTTACAATCATTAAAAATTGTCTTTAATGATTAAGTTTATAATTATATTGTAATTATCCTCTGTAGTTTATCCTTCAAGTTTTTTTCTACATTAATAATGTAGAAAAAAAACTTAAAGGTATCTTTAAATTTAATGTCATTATGAAACTCAGAATTATCTTGCAATTTTTTTTTGACTTGTACTTCTTTTTTAGTTGAAAAGAAGTTTGATTAAAATTGTCTATATTTTAACTGGTAACATGTTGGTTTCCTCTAAGTATTTCTTTTTTTAACATATTTGGTAAATCTTCAAATTTTATCAAAACTTCTTTACATTTATATCAATTTATCATTGAATAACTCGTAAATATAAAGGCGAGTTTCCACTCGTCCGTTTTTCAACGGGAACGGAAAAAATAATCACGTGAGCATGCGTAATAAAAGTTTTTATTTGTCCGAAGAAAACTGCGCATGCTCACGTGATTATTTTTCCGTTCCCTTTCCCTTTCCCGTAGAAAAACGGATGAGAGGAAACTCACCTTTACTTGAAAAGTTTACACTGCTGTTGTTACTTTACACAGCATTCTACAGTGTTATGCATATTAAATTTTTGCGAGTTAAAAATATAGCAAAAAGACTTAGCAGTGAATGTTTTTTATACCACGACTAAATTTATATTGGTTTTTGAGGTGATAATTAATAAATTAACTTGAAAAAAAAGGTTGCCATGGACGTTGCTAGGTAAATAAAGTTTACCCTATTTGTTCCTATGATGAATTAGACCAATTTATGCACTAATTCGACAAATGTTAGTACTCTAATTATGTTCCACAATGATTGAAAAAAAGAAAATCACTTTTTAGAAAAATTCAAAAAAAAAAATTTTTAATACGTTTTGAATTGAGATTGACCACCTAAAATATTAGAAAATAGATTGAAGAAAAAACTTAAAACCAAATGTTTAATTTATGCAGTCTTTAGAATAATATATATTTTTTAATAACAAAAAAAGGCTTCCAAATTTCAATTAAAGTTAAAAATCGACTTAAAACGATAATTAATGAAAATAATTAAAACGATATTATAAATGATAGTAAGTTAGAAAAAAAGGTTTCGTTACATACCTTTGTTAAAATGTTTTAAACAATAACATTCAAAAAAAAAAAAGTCAAAAAAACAGCATTGCATGAATTTGCAAAATTGCAAAATTGCATGCGTTAAAAGGATCTCTAAAATACTACTAACTACAAATAATATTAAATAACATTAAATATTATTTAATATAGAGATTTTTTTCACTAAAATTGCGTAGTTGTGGAATTATGCTAAATTTACTATATTTTACAAATTCAATAACTCAACGGCACAAACTTTTACAAAATTTTTGGGCACTCTTATTTTTTATTGTTTATTAATAAATTATCTCCGCTAATTCAACAACTTATTTTGTACCATTGACCGTTTTATTTTTATAACGATTTAGTGTGTTTCACTAGCAGCATAGGCTTCGATAATGGTTTACAAAACAGATAATTATATGTAGGGACAAAGTCGGGCCCTGAACACTTCAGAAAAAAATAGATTGTACACATGTACTAACAGAAAACAAAGTGTCAAAAGACTTTATTAAAAT